ATATGAATAATAGGAACGACTTGACAAACCTGCTTTGGAAGAACGCGACCGGTTTCACGGTTTTGGTCGCTCATCAGCTATCCATTTCTCAGTATGTGCGCGTCTAAACAAGTTGCCTATCCTTTATATTTACACACATCAGAATTCAGATCTTATGACAAACAAATTCATGATACAATATTCTTTATGAAAAAGAAAAACATTCCATGATTTATAGATAGGCTTAATACGGCCAGGTTGCCCAGGTGAATTTTCTTGAGGAATTCACAACCGGAGCATTTGGCTAGTCAAAGCCTAACCCTTAAGCAGNAGCAGGGCAGTGTGCGAAAACCGCAATGCATTGGGGATCGGTGCCCAGTTCATCGGATTAAATGCCCTTTTGACTGGGTCAAACGTCCAAGGTGCCCAATACACTTCGATGCCCAATTGAGCCCGTGATCACTGCCACAACCAGGCAAGTGTGTGCGTGGCTCGTACGCCTCCTCATGGTTGATTTAGAATCAAGGTTTTTGGCCAATTCCCCTAAGTGAACAATCAGTGATTCACCAACCCGGTTATAGTCCCGGCTGTCGGCTTTTCGTTCTCTCGCTTTGGTGGGAAAACACCGCCACAAGAAAGAAGTGAGTACGGTTTCCTCAGCATAGGCTATTCGAGACGCTTGGTCGTATGGGAGCATTTCACGAGGTGCAAGGGCAGGGTGACTACCCCAACCGTAGACAATCCCCCAACCCTAGCGAGGCTTTTGGGGGCGAAAAAGTTGCTGAGTGCGAAATATAATCTCCGAGGCACAAAGCAGGAGAATTTTTCTGGGTAGTTCACAACCGGAGCCTGATCCGTAAGGTATCAGGGAAAATCCGAGACGCATTAGCTACGGGTGTATGCCGGACGGCGTCATGTGCCCTTTGGACGAGATAGAACCTTCAACGTGCCGATAAATTCTGATACCTAATTGAGCCGGTAACCATAGCAACAACCAGGAAAGTGTGTGTGTGGTTAAGTCACCTCTTCTTAGTTGGTTTGAAATCAGGGTTTTGAGCCAACACCCCTAGGTGGACAGCCAGTGGTTTACCGATCCGGATGTTAACTTTTCGCCACCGCACTTTTAAAGGTAATAAACGAAGGTCTGAAAATAAAACAATCTTTTCTTCGAAAACACATTGTGGCACAATAAGCAGGTTAAAAATATAGCAGTGGTACTTCGTTCTAAAAGGTGATAGAAGAAGTCACTTCATACGTTTTTCTTACAGGGATAACCGACAAGCGAAGGTCATTGTACCGATTCCAGGGGAAAAACTGACGTACAATGCCGTGAACTTTTCTTTTAAGTATTTCAAAAGAAAAGACCATAGTGCAATACTGCACGATTTATATCCAGGACGATTTCGCTGTATCTCAACATGGTGCATACTGCAGAAAATACAATATTTATATAGGGCTTTAGCATAGCAACAAAGTAAAGCAATACATTAAAAACAGACAAAACATAAAAGAGGGAGGGGTAAGAGGACCAATATCACCAGGGTAGGGAGAGACTAACATAAAGTATACCGTTGGTTCTTACGGTTCCTAAACTAGCCATTGTTAGTTCGTTTAGTGTGTTTCCTTGCCTCGAGGTTTTTTTAAAGATCTATTTTGTGAATCAATCCCACCAATATACGTGGTATTAAGTCTTGAACCAATGGGGGAGGAACACCCAATGACTATTTCACTAGCATGCTTGCAGGCAACGAAGTCAGGTGAGGTGAGAAGAGAACACCGAATAAGAATGAAGACGGAATGACATTCCGAAAAACACAAGAATAGGCTTGTTCTGTTCCTCAACGATAACCGTGCTCGCGATCACGAAAACACGGAGTGGACAACGAAAATAGTTGTTCCAGGCGTTTTTTCGTAGATAGCGATCCACCTATTACTCGCATGTGGGCCACTGTGGAATCTGATTGGATCAACGGAGTGGACGAATTAGTCACGTGCCTGCATGAGTGGGAGGCTCTCGTCGTACACGTGGTCATATCTCGGTACTATTCTCCAAACAGCACTAAAGCCAATCGGAATTTATCATTCGAAGCCCGCTAGATTCCACCGGAATTGCTTATCTCACAGGTGTACACAAAGTGAGCCTGGTCAGTGAACAAAACCTTCATGAAATGCGACTCATGCGTGATTTGAGTAAAAACAAAAAATATGAGCATGTACACTAGAAAACAACGAATTTTTGTAATGCCGCAATGTACCTTTGGATGGCTTTGTACCGCTATAAAGCACTTTATCCATTTTCCATCGCCTACAATCCAAGGTTTAATAAGCGTACGGCCACAGACAACACTATGATCAACGAAAACTTCAATCTGGTCAGCTATGAGAGAAACAAATTGTGACGAACCTGATGACCTGTGGATGTTTATTATCTCCGATTATATCAATCCTGCACCTGATCAGTGTAGATGTGAATTTTCCTTACGCAAAACTTAATCGAACCATAAACTTGACCTCTCGCTGGTGTGTCTGACCCCTCTGTTCAGTTTGATGCACGATCACTATTCCGTACTGGGTCACATACGAGCTTGAATGACACAAATTTAATCGTTAAATCAAACCGTCTTGGAACTTTTTACGCGGCAAGTGTGAAACTATGAGAATGGTTAAATCGAGATCATCATTCACACTTGCAGAATCGACAGTAAGATAAAAATTATATATATATATATATTAAGATGAGCTCATTTACCTCTCAAGAATAACATCCCACTCTAACAACCGCTTCAAGTGTCCTACGATCACTTCACTTTCCCATTTCACAATTCTAGTCGGTGCGTAATTTTGTATTGACCGCCTAAGAAGAGACCATGAAACCCAATCGGAGAAGTGTTTGAATCCAGACGCAGCTTTGGAGTGCAATGTTTCGTCGATTTGAAGTAAGCTGTCAGTTAGGGTGGATCCGATCGACGGCAGTGAGCCTGTGCGTTGAAGCAGTTGATACATCACACCGAACAGGAGTCCGGTGGTGTCCAGACGATTGGGCAAGCACTTCCGATCCGAATCGATAGAAACGAGAATAGGGAATAGGCGAATAACGGGCTCCAGTACTGTGGAACATTCCTCGCTGGATGCCGATTTGGACCAAACGGCCAAAGCGAGAAATAAAATATGAACAATTCGTTCGGTATGCACCGTCCGTTCCAATGTGTTCGAATTGGGTTCTCTCAGTAGGTCGTTTAAGCAATCGAACAGAGAGACTATTCCAGTAGGTACCTGTAAAGTAACAAGCGAGCATTGTGAGAGTGAAAAGTTGCTCCATTCGCGACAGCCTAGCATTTTCAATCATTTCGAAAAATCAGTGGCTAGTGAGTAGTGATTTAAAATAACTGATCATCCTTNAACAACTATGTATCCCCGCCGATTTTGTTCGGAATTTTAGTTCCGAAGCCTTAGCACCAGAGATGTGGATCAACACTGCGTTAATCAGCTCGCATCGGTTCTGATCACAATCGCCGAGTTCGGTTTTCGTGAGATGTGGCCCTATCAGGGAGTCAGTCGGTCGCTGGCCCAATGATTTGGACAGATGATAGCATAAAACCAATTAGCTCCCATCGGAAACGTACCTGACTGGTTTCGTACACATGCACGAAAGCCGGCACTACTCATGAGCTCG